AAGACTGTACTTCATAAGGCACAGGGCTCCAGCAGTCATTTTATTATCAAGTCGCGGAAGGACCAAACTAGCAGTGGCATGGGTCGAGGAGGTAGATCTGTTTAGACAGATATGTAGTGTTGCGAAACTGCCCATAATATCGCACACCTCCATGTGACCGTGCTCGTTGAATCGTTTTACGTTTATTTGCTTACTTGTTTCAGTCAAGTTTATGACGTGTACGCTACATGTGGCACCCACTGGTGTCGTGCGAATTTGCTCTGGTCGGTTTAGACAACGCTACGAACGAAATTAACATTGTTCTTGTTTTGGTAGTGTTCCGATCTATTGGCCCATTCCCTGGGTATGTCAATTCTTGCGCAAAAGCTGGTAGCATTGTCATGGTCATTTAATAATTATCACCAATATTGATAACCAACTGTCAATCAGGATCAATCACTAATCCCACTTTGCCTGAAATGCAGGTGCTTCAGTTGACTCATAAAGTGTGGCGTATTTGCTTACTTTTGATCGGCTTTAAGCATTTCTGCTAAAAAAGATCACGGAGGCGTTTAGTCATAGCACTAATTTATTGTTCGTGCATAAACAGTCGCTTGGGTAATCTCTGGTAGTAGCAATCGAGAAGTTGGCTTGCGCACACTCAGCAGTTTTCATGGCTGAAAGAAAACATCGGCAAGTAACCTGAAGCAACCGGACAGGCAATGAAATGCGAACAAATGAATTTGAGCCTTCTTATCCCCTTTTGCAGGTCATAAATGAAAAATACTCATGTAGTCTTTGTGGCAGGAGAACCAAATATTGAGCTAGCATACGATATCCTTAGGTAATTAAAACATCTATTGTTTGCAAAAACAACGCAGCCGGATCGATTCTTAAGATGCGTTGTGCTCTGACCTTTTTCTTGTGTTTTATAACACTAGAATTGGAACCCAAACCAGTGAAATCCTCTACCGCAACATACACCTGGGCGCAATACTTTGGAATCACCTTCATTATTGCGTTGGCCTTTGGTCTCCTCATCCCTGTGCTCTTCCTCGTGGGCATCATAGTAGTGTGTCGACGACGTCACGCCTACCGCCATCATCACTGCATGACCAACGGCTCTGGAGGCAGCATGAGTGTCGGTGGCACTGGCAGTGGAAGTTATGGCAATAGCAAGCTTTTCTCCGCCAATCTTTGGCACTATATCGGGGGCAAGGAGGTTGCTGATGATCCGTTTGCAGAGCACACTGCCAGCATTCACCGTCCTCCCTTCTCCGCCCACAAATTCTCTGAAGGCACACTGGGCATGCGTGGGGATGGAACTCTTGACCTCCCCGATGTTGTCATTCCTTCTGGTACGTGTCTCTATTGCTATAACTCTAAATATGACTCAAACCATTTGTCATACTGTGGTCGAAGTGTCCCTAGGATTACTGTTAGGCGAGCTATCTCGGAAGTATCAGCTTCATATCGTTGTCATATGTCACTTGGCCTCGCGATCATGCTTCTTCGATCCTTCAATTTTTCCGATGAGTTGCAATTGATAGCCAGGTACGGTTAAATACAATACTGGGGTCTTTTTTGATCACTTGTAGGGTTTTCTGTAGACTCGATATTCTTAGAGGCTAGACAATGTTTCGTTGTGACTATACTTGGTTTACTAATCATTTTACATGGGTAAATCAGCTTAGAAGCAACAAGAGAAAGATCTCATTTTGCTAGATCCTGACTCCAAACCGCCAGAATCTTGCTAATGTCGTATGTTACTCTCGAATGCAATCTCTATTTGCTCAAAGCTAGTCCGTTTTCAGCACAAATTATTAGTTGAAAATGGGCTTTAGAACGGCTGTATTACGGTTTGCGTCTTCTTCATCCAAGGAATGGAAATTGCCTTTTCAAAATGGATTTTCCAAGACTTCTATCGAGGTGTCATCCAACTCTTTGGAATTGGTTTAATCATAGTATCTCAGGCGTCATTAGCGGAGCTACAAGTCGATTGTCTATGTTGATTGACAATAGACTGGAAGCGTTATGTGTAAAGCGGGAAAAAATTTTCGTATGT